CTTGCTCAGTGAAAAGTCGGTGAATGGATTAGAGCCCTTCCAAAGCACGTAGAAGTTGATTGCGCTGGATGGTGAGCTATGTGGCCAGGTGTGACCGCTGCATTCAGCACTGTATATTCCAAAGCCCAGTAGGCAGGGGGAGGAATGAGAAGGTTGTCTGAAAGTATTAAGTTCATTTTATATTTGTGTCAGGAGAAATGATGCGGTGTGGTGCAGATGACTGAGTGGTTATAGACCCCTAGGTCAAAATCAGAGGAGAGCTTACAGGATCAGACACATAGACCTTTTCTTCAGTGGCTGCAGGATTTCTGCTGGGAAATGCACTAAGTGCACTTGGTCCTTCCTGTTGTCATTTGTGCCATAGTTTTTGATGCACTTGGACAAGGTTCTAACCCGGTCATCACTTTCCTAGCTGAGTCTGACATTGGGTTTGGCTTTTGAGTCTGAAATTGTCCATTCCGAGTGCACGGTATTGTCTGATTTAAATGGCTGCCTTCTCTTGGTCCATTTGCTGTACTCAGCACTGAATGACAAGAATAGCCTGTATTGGTGATGCTGCCATATCTGTCGGTGAGAAAAACCACTGGGTTAGAGACTGATAGACTGTACAATACAGGCATTTAGAAACTGTCTCGGTTTCATGTAGCTCCCTGCCTACCAGAACTCCTGGCCCAGCTCCAAGTGAACCTGCAAGAGACCAGTAGCTGATTGGGTACAAAAAAAAAATTGCACTGGAAACTCAACCCACCTCACATCCCTCTATTTCAGTTGGATCATGGCTTTGCATGTTGTGTGCGTGTCTGACATAACTTACTAGTAACCCTGACACTCTAAAGCACAGGTCTGGGAACTTCGGTATTCGGTGTTGTTTGTTTTAAATAAAGGCTCTGCAAGAAAGAGAGGCTTGTAAATAGGTACCAATGCTCATGAGGTCATTATGGTTTATGTGTAAAGTATATGTACATAGAAAGGAAAATGGCTCAATGAATGTTAGATAATATCCCACAAGCCAAACTGCGTTTCCACCCAGCTGTATTCCTGAAAGCACATGTTTAGCTGGACGACTGTACTCTCTCTTTAGATCTCATTGTAGTTACTCATGTGTCATAAGCACCTTCTTGTCACATGATCCCAAAGTCAGATCTGAACTTTGGGTGCACGTGAGGGGGTGTACATGTGAGCCTTTGTTACCAATTCTTGCTGCCAATGAGCGTCTGAAGAGCTCATGCATTTCAAAAGTAAGGTGCATTTTCTAAACCCCAGGCTGAACCTTTTACCCCAAGCGCTGGGTTAGTTGGGATTCCCTCCCACACAAGAGCTCTTGCTGTTAGCTCCTAAGAGAGGACATCTGTGTGTAACGGCAGGAAGAGGGACCCTGACATGTCCTCCAGGAGGTCAAACTGTGTCACTGAGGTGTGGGCCTCGACTTCGTGTTGTATTAAGTTGTCAGCCCGCTCACTCTGGGTGTGCTTGGCACAGAGCAGCATAAGCATTTTCGTTTGTCTAAACTAGGAATCCACGTAAACCGCAGAGTCCTTTGTGAACAGCCATGTGGTGTCTACTTCGTTTCCATGGTCTAGCGTTCTGTTGCTGAAGGCCAACGGCTGTGACTTAAGTCTCTGCCCTCGCAGACTCTGTAGCCTTCAGGAAACCCGAGTGCCTTACACGGCTTGTAAACACCACCTGGGAGTCAGGGAGGGAGGGTGGAGAGAGGCTTCATGGCTTCGAGGCACTGATAGTTGGTCAGCTCTTGCCATCACTCCGTCATTGAACCCTTATGGTGGGTTGTGTTATTACACAGTGATGGACTTAAGTTTAGGCTCAGGAAAATCATATTGTGAATATATGTATCAAAGCATATATTTATTGTATCTTTTCTAAAAAGCTTTATTGTAAACTTATGCAAAAAAAAGGAGCAGAACTTGGTTTCTCGTGGCAAAGTGCCAGGCAGTATTTGTGTTCAATGAAGCAATCCTTAACACCCCCTCTCTAAACACGTGACCTTTCCGTTCAGTGCTAAACAGTATTCCCAGGCTTAAACTAGGTTTGTATGGTGGTCAATTATAAATTTTACACATATTTTTGTATTGTGGTTCCTATAATATATACCAGAGAATTTTTACTTATTTGTAAATTATTGTACAGTTTTAATAAAACTTGTTTTAAATCCTAGCTCAAGGTGTCTCCATGAATATTATTAAAGTGTGAATTTATTATCTGTGTTAGCTTTTCCTGTCTTTACCACCTGGCCAGCAGTGCCTCTTTCCATTCTAGAAAGGGAATTTGAATCTTGTGCCCACTGGGGAGGGAAGTACACACCTTACCTGCAGCCTCTTCCAGAGATACCTAAGTCATTGGAAGGATAGACCTTTAGTAGGGAGAGTCTGGCAGCTACTTGCCTACAGTGGCAATCAGGAAGGTCTCTTCCAATGGCTTTATCCAGTATGTAGTATGGAGAGGAATTCAAGTAGCTAAGGAAGGGAAAAGAACTTTGGTATCTCAAACAGTTGGCTACATCCATTGCGGAGACTCTCAGACTGCTGAGGAGTGGAGGTTTACAGGCGCACTTGGGGAGTGGGAGTTCCATGGCAGGTGGGAATGAACCCAGATGACAGGCCCATGGGCCCCCAGTAGAGTGTCATAGCAGCTTATTTCCCAGCATGTGTTTGAAAGGAGTTGACTGAGTGGACAATGTGGAAGGTGGGGGTCTTTTTGTTCAAAATCCATCATTGTAGATTCCACAGTGACAACAATGATTGTCCTGTGACCTTCTGGGACTGGGGGTGTGTCTGAGAGCACCTCTTCCCTGTCTCATCGCAAATCCTTGACCTTGGCTTTAGCATAGTCTGTCCTTGTAGATCCTTAGATCCTCTTCTTGATCATGACCCAGCATGGCCGCTTCCACAATACTTGGAGTAGAATAGACCCCATCTTCATGGCTCTCAGCAGGCATTCTGAGTGTGGGGCAGAAATTGTGTCCTGAGGGTAAACCACCAAGGTCTTTTAGGACAGTAGGCATCTCTGGTCCTGCCCAGCTCGTTCAGCACCCTCTGCTCATGGACAGCATCAGCTCAGAAAGACTTATATGGGAGAGACCCTGAGGCTGCAGCAGGACCGACTGGTTCCATGTGTCCTGCGAGCAGACCTCATGCTGAGGACACCTGGCCTCAAATCTCCCACTCCCATCGTGATGGCATCGTGTCCCTATGTGTCTGTGAAGCTTCTGGCTGAACTCAAACTCGGCTGGCGTTGTCTTCCCTGCCTTGAGGACGCCGTGGAAAACAAGGTGCTACCAAGGAATGCAGCACTTGGCAGGGCAGAGATCCTCGAGTCAGCGAGCTACCCCGGGAACCACGTGACCCCTTGGAAGGACCCCCGAAGTGCCAGCAGAGATGATCCAAACAACACAACCTGTTTCCGGGACCGGCTCAGAGTGGCCCCACCCCGCGGGGCCCAGCAGGTAGAGGAAGCAGGAACCAGGCTGTGGGCAGGATGTCGTATGCTGTACACCGAGAGAGACCAGGTGTGTGTCTGTCAGCTATCGGTTCCACTGGATTTCTCTACCCCGAGTCTCCACCTCCGTCCTCCCCCCTCCCCAACCCCGGCAGTCCCCAGTCCAGCCCTTTCATCTCTCTTCGTCTGGGCTGTTTCTCTCTGTCCCTCCAACTTGTTCTCTCCCTCCTGCCCCAGACTGGTGTGGCCTGCCAAAGAACAGTATGCCTAGCCACCACGGTTCCGTGGTCTCGTCAGGCTAGGTTCTTGCGTTCCAGCCTGAAGCCATTCCTTAAAGAAGACTGAATTTTGCTAGAGATACCAAGCTAGATTCTGGCTCCTGCAGAGCCTCCGCCCAGATGTGAGAATTGGTTTTGAACCCTGGAGCCTGGGGTGCCTCAGGCCATCACAGAACAAGGCTAGGTGGGGCCAGGCATCTCTCCTCCTATCCTTCCCCAATGCAGACTTCATACATGTTGGTCCCGACAGGTCACAACCCATTCTTCTCCACTCAGCACAGGCGGAGTGGGGTTCAATTCTCACAGCCTGTGATCTTTAGGGTGCTTTTGGGGGAGGGAGGAATAGAAGGAAAAGGAGAAGGGAAGGGAGAGAGGGAGAAAGGGAGAGGGATCCTGAGCAAGTAAGCACAAACGAGAGCGGGAAGGAGGGGCCCGGATGCAAATGAAATAGGTAGGCGGGGCCCACATTCAAATGAGTTAATCGGAGCCCTGCGCCCGGCAGGCTCACACTTGGACTCCCTAAGATCCGCGCGTGTCCCTGCCGGCAGGTCCAAGTCCGCGCAGCGCCTACCGGGGACTCATAACCCTCCCGCGGATCAGTATGTCCTTCCAAGGCAAGAAGAGCATTCCCCGGATCACGGTGAGTCGAACCCCCGCCCCCGCCGCGTCTGGCGCCCCTTGCCCACGGCGGGAGTGGCTTGCAAGAGCAGCCGACGATCCTCCGGGCCCAGCCTGTGAATCCCACGCCTGCTCTAGTCCCCGGCCAGGCGCCAGCCTTCCCTCTCCTCTCCTTCGTATGCTGCCAGCAGCGGAGAGAGCTCTCCAGGCCGCGCGGAACCCACTGCTCAGCCGGTGCACAGGCCCGCGGTTCGCCAGCTCTCAGGACTCTGGTGGTTGACTTGGAAGGCGGGGTGAGCGGCCTGCTACCCGGAGCGTAGGTAGCCGGCCTCCTGCCGGGTCTGGCGTGGGGCAGATGGGGATCAAGCGGACATTGCCGGGAGTTCTGTCTCCAGGATGACCGGCGGTCGCAGCCTTTGTTGGCCCCGGGCCTGAAGGCACTACGATGTCGGATACTGTTCCTAGAGCAGCCCGTGGGCAGCGTACCCTCTGGACGCGCCGCTTCGGTGTCTTTAGTGCTTTGTCCGAGACAAAGCGATTTAGCCCTGACTACTAGATCTGGTGCCCCTGGAGGCCCCGAGCCCCTGCGTGAAGCTGGGTTCGGAGACTCCACGGGAGGTGAGTACTAACTGACCGCTCCAATCAGCATCCCTGCAGCACTCCCTTTCAGGACAGACCTCCCCAAAAGCAGAAGGTCAGTGTGATCACCGGGCCGACCAGGAAACAAAGCCTTCCCACGGGAGGGGTTGGAGGATGGCCCGAAGCCTGGGAGTAAGAGAGGGAGGCTCCTGGGATCAGCTGGACCAGGTCGGGAGTTCTAGGAGGTCTCTAAAAAGCTCTGGACTTGTTCCCAGCCTAAGAGCTCTGCTGGAGTCTAATCAGGCTGTTGGGGAGGTCAGCTTCCTAGCCTTCTGGGGGGAGTCCTTTCCTCTAGAAAAAAAAAAAAAAAACCTCAAAGAGGAAAGAGGCACCCCTCATAGGGACCAGAATTAGTTCCTGCCTCTTGACTGCCTACTACTCCTAGGGATCCAGGCCTAAGGAGGAAGTGCCATTAGCCAGCTGGCAGTGAGTGGAGATGGTAATGGCAGATTCCTGCCTAGTCAAGCAGTTCTGTTCATGAAGAGGGAGATGGCTCGAAGGAACCCCCACCCCCCACTCATCTAGATGGGGCCTATCACAACATGACTTGTTCTCCCAAACTCAGGAGGACCCCAGAATGCAAATTCTGCTGTCTGGAGACGGAAGTCTAAATAGGGACCCCAGAACTCAAGATTTCTGGCTCAGTGGTTTCTTCTAATGGCTGAGTTTTCCTAGCTTATTTTTTTCTGAGAATGGCTAGAACAAGGGGGAAGAGGAGGGGTGTGGTCCAGAGTGGCAGCCCTGTGAAGTGGGTGGCTGTGGTAGGCCTAGGTAGTCACTAGTGCTCAGTGTGGCTGGTCTCTGAGCAGCTACAGACATTTGAAGAGAGACTTGAGCTGCAGTCAAGCTATGTGTGGTCAACAGGCTACTTCCACCATGGGCCAGATGGTAAGTCCCTTCAGCTTCGTGTCGGACCATACCATGTCTGTCTCACTTAAGGACTCCTGGGCAGGGTGATTTCATGGACATGAATGAATCTATGAACTTCACCTGTAGACATTGACATGTGGATTCTGTAGAATGTTTACAAGTTATTCTTTTCTCATACACACTATAAAACTTAAAAACTCTGTGATTCTGTGTTGTACATACAGGCAAAGGGCTGGGTGGTGTGGGCTGGGACATAGTTGCCAGGCCTTTGGAAGACTATGATAGTTGTTGGGCAGAACAGGAGAACCCGGAGAGTTCAGTCCGACACTCGGCTGCTGGGCAGAACAGGCAACTATACAAAAGACCCCCCTCCCCATCCTTGCAGGCTCACAGGGCTCTGCTTACCACACTCTCAGCTGGTTCTCCTGGCCTCAGACGGATGCTATAACAGAGCCGAAGCTGGCCTGGGCCTGGCCCAGCTGCCACATGGGTCACAGAAACTTAGGGCATGTGGCCAGGCTTCCTTGTTTTGTGTCAAGTGCTTTTCCTGGTTAGTCCACAGGCAGAGTTGTGGCTCATGATGGGTAGAAAGGGACATCAGTAGGTCTCCCCTCTCACATGAGTGCCTCCATTTTCTGTTTCCACTATTCCCCGCCAGAGCTAGGTCACCAGTTCTGAGGTCTGTGCACAGTCTCAGCTTTCTGCCTGACCCATCGCTCCTGGTTGGTCCTCAAAGTGTCTGTCTTATGGGTGCTAAGCATTGAAATCAATCAGATTCCATGCCTCTGTTTTGCTGAAGTGAGCCCACAGGGAGCTGTCCTGTCTTCACACACATGAACATCTTCACACTGCAGCAGAGCCTGTGGCCATTTGATCCACCCCTGCTCCCCCACTGCGCCCCACTCCCCCTACCCCGCCTCCGCTCCCTCCCATCCCTTCACACCCATGGCCTCCCTATCCATCAGTTCTCTCCATCAACTCCCAGCCCACGTTTTCTCGTGCTTATGTCCATAACTCTGGCTAAGAGCCTCTCACCTTCCCTCAACAACCTACGAAGCCACTTAAGCAGCAATTGTGTCCCTCTTTCCATATCATAATCTGTTTTTTTCCCTGAGAGCCCAGGTGACCTCGGTATTAGTCAGAACTAACCCAATAGTCTGTCCCCCGTATCCTCCCATGGACTCCAAATCCTCTGTGTCCCAACCTGCCCTGCCCCGATGCCTGCCCTTGCTCTTCCCACTAGCTGTAGCCCTTGTGTTCTTTTGAGAACCAACCCAAAGGCTTTCCTGCCTCAGGGGCCTTTGTACAGCTGCCTCTAGCCTGGAACAATCCCCCCACTTCTGTCACACTACACGAGTGCCCCAGAAAAGCCCCTGTGATGCTCAGGGTGGCCTGGATCCCTCTCACCCTATCTCTGTGTTGCTCTTCTCTGGGTTTCAGTGTGTCGACCTGTGCCTTGGTGGAGGGTAGCAGAGACGCACTGCCTCCATCTGTCTATCCCTGGAGCCAAGACGAAGATGTCTGTCATCTGCTCCGCCCCACGCCTTCTGATACCACCACGGGCCTGTGGCATTCTGGTGTATCAGCCTGGCCCTGTTATTGCCCTCCTGGTTCCATCGGTACAGGTGGGAGGGAAGCACATAGGTGCCCCTTGAGAACGGTTAGGTCACCAGGTCTTCCCTTAGGCCTGTCTTTTTTTCTGATGGTCAGATGGCAGGTTCCAACAAAGCAGCTGCTTCGCCGCCGTACTTTCGCCAACACAGCCTTGCCCCGCCGTTCCCACTCAGATTCCCCCTCCCCCGCCTTCGGCATCTGCTGAACAGTTAGTGCCAGGGTCATGTTGGACACTGCACTGAGCACCCTGTTAGGAGTACTGTAAATAAACCTTTGCGCTGGTTCTCACAGCTGCAAAATGCATCGAAACTTCTCAGTCATTCTAGGGGAAGAGGTTCCTAATGGTCCGGAAAGTCTCTATTGGCACCCATTGTTTTGTCTCTTGTCAGAGTGACCGCCTTCTCATCAAAGGTGGGAAGATTGTGAACGATGACCAGTCCTTTTATGCTGATCTGTATGTGGAAGATGGCCTGATTAAGTAAGTTTCTACACGGGGGCATTTATAGATATGTGAAAGTGTGAACGTTGGTTACCTGGCACTCAGGCATCTGCTCTGGGGTGAGAACCATGCAGATGCCTTCTTTTCCAAACCCCTGACCCTGGGAACCATCCTGGAGGCATGCTCGTCTTTCCAGATAGCCACGAGTCCCGGAGCAACACAATGGGACCAGTGTTCACGTATCTTTATGTTATCACCGCACTTAGGATAAGTCTGGGCCCCTGCAGACGAGCAGGAAACACTGACCTGCTCCCTCCTCTACTTGGTGTGTCACGGAGCTCTGGTACAGGTGTGCAGACAGCAGACAGGGTCTGCTGACAGTTATGGTCATTAGACAGCAAGCAAAGGCTTCAGGGGAGACCAGGAGGAGAGCCATGCAGGCACAGCACTGGGCCCTACACACTGCCCTCCTGAGATTGCAAGTCTTATTCTCTAGCATCTGGGCCCTCAGCCTGCTTTTTTTTTTTCTCTCTCTCATGGTCATGACTCCAAGCCCTCGCTTCCCAGAGCCACTGCCATGGTGCTTGTCTGAGTTCTGATCTGAGCTCTCTATGAAGTGAAGACTCTTTTTATTGCTTTCAGACAAATTGGAGAAAACCTCATCGTCCCTGGGGGCATCAAAACCATCGATGCTCATGGCCTGATGGTATTGCCTGGGGGAGTTGACGTCCACACTCGCCTGCAGATGCCTGTGCTGGGCATGAGCCCAGCTGATGACTTCTGTCAGGGCACCAAGGCGGCCCTGGCGGGCGGGACCACCATGATATGTGAGTATGCAGGCCACTTTCCAGGTAGTCATGAAGCTTTGAATAGCACAATGGCGCTGGCTTCCGTGCATATTTTTGTGTTATCACAACACTCAGTACGAGACTGGGCTTCTGTGAATGCTTAGGCACGCCGGGACAGTGTGTGACCCATCTCCTTGTTGCATGACGTGGTTTTCCTCGGTTCTGTTTCTATATTATATCTCCATCTAAAACATGTCGGGCACACCCCTGCCGTCCCTGCTTCTCTTTCTGAGCCAGTTGCCCGGGCTAGCTCTAGGATGCTGATGGGCGCTGGATAAGCAGATATGTGCCCACTTATTCCTTCCAGGGGGGCTGGCTGCTGGCCAGGAACTGGGGTTCAGAAATTCTGGTGCTCTGAACCAGGAGAATTGAGCCTGAACCTTGCCTCTGACGTTTGAAGTAAGTTCTTGCCTGTGTTGAGAACTGAGGCTGTGGTGTTTGAAACAGGACATTTACACTGCCCTGTTTGAACCCCTCCTGTGCACATCTCTATTTGGTCTCAATAATATGACCCCACACACTCAGGCTTGTATGCCTTCTTGGCGGGAGGAAAGGGTCTCTCCTCTCCTCTAGTGTCTGAGGATGAAAGATTTATCACACACATTTCTTTGTGCACCTGAAACACAGTAAATACCGTCCCCGCTGCTACTAAGGAAGTACAGTTCAGGAGACTCTGGACACTCCCAATGACACTCAGCCATTGCTACCACCACAGCTTGGTTTGGTTCACTCTGTCAGGCTGAAGGAAAACGAGCAGCAAGGTGGGCCACCTCAGGCTCCTGGGGCTCAAGTACATGCGGTGGACCAGGTGGGCCAGCCCAGCTGCTCTGTTAATGCCCCCCGTTTGGGAGATGTCTCCAGAAGCACAAATGGCATGCACACAGGGCTGGAGCATGGGCTATGTCGTGCATATGCTGCACCCAGGGTCCTGGCTGGTGATCTGAGGGATGGACAGAGGGGGTGGAGGTACAGGGAGTATGGTACGGAGATGAGGCAGCCTCTGGTTCCTGAAGTGCACCGTTTTGTTTAGCAGTCCCTCTGAGCTCTCTCCTGGCACATCCCAGGTTTGGCCCGTGAGCAGTATTTGGACTTTGGAATGGGAGGGAGACAGCATGGTGGCCATGTACAGGAATGATTTATACTCTTGGGGGCTTGTGGAGTCAGTGGGGCTATGGAAACTGGCTCAGTGGAGGAAGTTTTCTGGAAGCATGCATGTCCACAGGGTCAGCACTGTGGACAGCTGACAACTCCCCCCCCCCAGTCACTGTTGTCCCCTGAGGAGTCGAGGTCTAGGAAGTGGGGTGGTTTGAACTCAGGCTCCCTGCTCAGTGCTCTACTCAGAGAGGCTGGAGGGACGTGGGAGAGAAGATACCCTGGAAGGAAAAAGAAGGTGGTAAGACAGGACAGGACCTCCCTTCGCTGTGTCTTCCTCAAACCCCACTCTGGTCTCCAGAACGTGAAACCAAATCCCCCTTGGAAACAATAGTGGGACACCTGGGCCAGGCTTGGGAACCTGGCTGGACACGCTGCCTCCTCCCCCTACAGTGGACCATGTGTTTCCCGAGGCTGGTGTGAGCCTGCTGGCAGCCTATGAGCAGTGGCGGGAGCGGGCGGACAGCGCAGCCTGCTGTGATTACTCCCTTCATGTGGACATCCCCCGCTGGCATGAGAGCACCAAAGAGGAGCTGGAGGCCCTAGTCCGGGACAAAGGTGAGCAGCAGTGATGGGTGGGGGTACCCGAGGACCTCTGTGCCTACAGGCAGACTGAGGGTCCCCTTCTGGATCTCCTGGGATTTGCTGCAGTCTGCCAGCCTGATCCCAAGGCAGGTGTTTAGGAGTTGAGTTGGAGAATCGCCCAAGGTCAGTTGTGTTCTCAGAGGCTCCTGACGAGGAAGGCCCATGCCATGAGCACATCCTGTAATTCGTCTTCCCACAGACACTGCCCTGACCATGCTGTCCTTGGCTCTCTGTTTTCTAGAAAAGAGATGCCAGAAGACAAAGAGGTAGCCACATTTACCGTCACTTGGGGGCTTTCTCTTAAGAGGTTCTTTTAGGCTCTGTATTGAAACGGACTCATCTGTAGATAAAGATTGACTCCATTCTACATAATCTTCCTAACGCTCAAACCACACCAGAGGTGTTCAGTGGGCTTGGCACAAAGCCGGACCGCACTGGGTGCTTGCCTCACTGCCCTCCACGCGCTGTCTGTAGCTCACAGAAGAGCATACTCATGAGGGACACTGCTACCTGTCTGCTATGACCCCAAGGCCATCTCCTTTGGCTTGCCGTTCCCGGAGAGTGGCAGCCCTCACTTTGGTGCCTTTCGGAGCATAGGGCCCACATCTCCACCACCTGGGTATAGTGGACTCTGCTATCCAGGCAGCAGTTAGACCCCTGCAGCCCCATGTCCCTGACCCAGGTGCCTGCAGAGCTCACTCTCCTTGTGGGGATGGCCTTCTAATCAGAAATTGCCATCAGATGTCACACACAAGCTATCACCTGTGAGGATGGCACAGAGTGACTTGGCTTTTCCCAGTGTGATCCACATTAATATTTTTTATCCAGCAAGGGGGGAGGCGCCCTTGGCTGGGCGGGTTTGGGGCTGCCTTCAGGCCTCAATGGACCTTCATAGGTCCTGGTCCCGGGAGGTGGGCAGATTCTGGCTGTCCAGAAGTTAGAAAGGCTCAGCCTTGCTCCTGATTGGACTCTAATATTGTGGGCATCAGCCCCTCTCCCTCCTTCCTATGTGTCTGGGGTCCCAGCCCTGAGACTCTCCTGCCCCTTGTAGAGTGTCGTGAACATTCACTATGAGCTGTGGTATAGTGCAGCAGGACTCAGGACCTGTAGGCAGGTGACACGCCAGATGGCCCAAGAGAGGCTCCCCCAGCATGCCAGGCCTGGTTGCTTTTCCTGAACAGAGCATATGGGACTTGGTTCGCAAGCTAATTGCACTGCTCTGTGTCCTGCAGGAGTGGAGATCTGCCTGAGAGTTGGTGGTGAGAGTAGGTATATTCTTACCTGTGTGCCCACTGGGTGAGCAAACAGTCCCAAACGTGAGCAGCAGTGAGGCAATGACTGGGGCATAGTCGACTCTGTCCATGTGGCCTGGCTTGTTGATGGGGAAGACTGGCCTGCAGGATGCTATGCTATCTAGCTCAGCTTCTGTGGGAGAAATGTCCCTGTCTCTGGGTTCCTCTCTGGTGGCTGAGCCTCTCTAGCCTCTTTTCCAGGTGTGAATTCCTTCCTGGTCTTCATGGCATACAAGGACAGGTGCCAGTGCACTGACGGTCAGGTGAGGCCGAGTTCAGACGGAATGAACAAGTGGGGTGTCTTGGGCTGTTGCTGGAGAAACAACCCTACAAACATGGGACTCTGCCTTCTTCACAGATGTATGAAATCTTCAGCCTCATCCGGGACCTGGGAGCCTTGGCCCAAGTGCATGCAGAAAACGGGGACATTGTGGAGGAGGTGAGAGAGGTTATACCACCCACGGGGTTGACTGGGTGGGTCAAGCTGATGCCTAGTTGGTGAGCCCCAGTGGGAAGACAAAGCTGGGAGGAATCTTATGAGCGCTGTGACCTCTGTGACACTTGAATGGGAGAACGGGAATATTAAGTCAAAGGTCAAACAGCCCATGAGTTAGGAGGTCTTAAAAGACACTGAAACCACAATGTGGCTTTTTCTATGATGGTCACAGATCTTGCCAAAGTACCCCTGCCAGTCCTTTGGGAGACTGCAGTGTGACACCCAGGATCAGGGGAGCAACAGGGGCTGGCTGCCTACCAATAGCCTGAACCTTGGGCCAGCCTTCCCCAAGCCCACTCTGCTATGCATTCTTTGTGGTTGCTCTATTCTGGGATGGTCAGGGGCCCAGGATTATGTTCAAGGTATGGGACTTGCTGCCAGGCACCTCATGTCCAGGGCTTGGGATCCTTGGGACTGGAGCAAAGCATCCTATTGGTCATTTAGGAGCAGAAGCGCCTCCTGGAACAGGGCATCACCGGCCCTGAGGGCCATGTCCTCAGCCACCCAGAAGAGGTAAGTCTGCCCTACTGAGTATACCATTGCCCCATCCCACCCCCCGACCCTGAGCTAAGTTGGCCCTGCTTCATGGCCTGAGTCGTACCTTGCTCATCTTGTTCTCACCTTGTGGGCTTAATGCAATGACCCTCTGCCTGTCCAGTATCCATCTCAACCACTTGCCACCCCACAACCCTTACCTGAGGCAAGAAAGCAGTAAGTACACTTGGGTCCTGAGAACCATGTGTTGTCAACCTAGATTCTAGACACTGGGCCCCAGGCTGGGTTCTTGCTCCAACCGAGATGCATGCCCCCAGTGCCGACAGTCTCGTGGGTGATCTTTGGGTCCAGAACTCACCTGGTCAGGAAGTCTCAAGGCTTCTCGTGTTCTGATTGTCCTCTCCCTTTGCCACCTTCAGGTAGAGGCCGAGGCTGTATACAGAGCAGTCACCATTGCCAAGCAGGCCAACTGTCCACTGTACATCACCAAGGTGATGAGCAAGGGAGCGGCTGACATGATTGCCCAAGCCAAGCGCAGGGGTGAGTGCCAGCGCTCACTTCCTACATGTCCCTAGCCTCCCTGAGCTCTGCTGACAATTGAGGACCTCTGGGCACTAAGGAGGGGAAGACCCAATGAAAAAGTAGGTCTCTTCATGGGGCACCTACTTATATTAGTCCTAGGGGTGCAAGCCCAAGGGAAGTTTAGGAGCCCTGTGTCCCCGTGAGGGGTGGGGCTAGACCTGATTCTCCAGCCTTGTTAAAATAATAACTGCCTATTAGGGGTCTTTAGCAAACTGGGGCCCTGTGTATCTGTTCCCAGGAGAGCCAAGCGCAGAATTCTCTGAGTATGTATTTAAGAGGGGTTCTTGATTCCACAAGTAGTCTCACTTTTGCTATGGGTTCAGGAGCTGGGGCCCCCATTCTGATGGCTAAGGGGCTCCATGACTCTAACACCTAGACTAGCTAGAGGCAGGCACCTATGTCCTGGCAGATCCATAGCTGTGGTTGCCAGGGGCTAGACTGTGTGACTCACAGAGAGGCTGTGAGCTCCGAGGGCCAGAGAAGCCCCTGCGGTCACCAGGGTATGGGAGAGGGCCACAATTGGGGCGTAAATCCAAGGTCATTCATAAAAGAGGCAGCATGTTTAAGAACAATGGAGGATCTGGAATCCATTTCCCCACCCAGTCTCATAATGAGACCTCATTTCCTAGCTGTGCCTTGAGACTATGGAGTCCCTGGGGTGGAAGTGGATGCGTACAGAGACAGGGACAAGTTTTCTTCCCAAAGATTGGCACAGAAACCCTCCGTGTTTACAAGGGAAAGGATCAGTAGCGTTGCCAGCACAGGATGAACAGACCCTGCAAGGCTCACCCGGAGCCTCACTCCTCCTCCCAATAAGCTACTCTGCAGTAGGACCGGTCTCTACCTCACTGAGCCTGGGGCTTATTGGAACAGCATCAGACTAGTTCAGAGCTCTGCTACAAGGCCCAGACCTGGGACTCAGGGCCTTTCTGTGTCTGAACTGACAGGTGTAATTGGTTAAGTCCTACTCTGTGGCCCAGCAGGAGTGCCCAGCAGTCTGACCCTCAGCAGAGGTTGTAGTATAGAAAGGATCATTGTCTCGGTCACTGTACCTCCCAAAGAACCACCCTGCAGGGTCAGCGACTACTCAGGGACTCCAGAAAAAAAGCACATGCTTTTCCTGGTCATGAAAGCAAAGGATAGAGAGAGGTAGTAGTGTGAGATCATGCTGTGGGTGCAGGTTGCTGGGGTGCCGGCCATAATCCTTGCTCACTTTAGGGGTGGTCGTCTTTGGGGAACCTATCACTGCCAGCCTGGGCACTGATGGCTCACACTACTGGAGCAAGAACTGGGCCAAGGCTGCGGCCTTCGTCACGTCACCCCCTATCAACCCAGACCCTACCACCGCGGACTACCTCACCTCCCTGCTGTCCAGGTGAGCAGCCATCCCACCAAAACTCAGGGCAACCTGAGGCCTCCGAGTCTGTGCTTCCTCCGGACACCCCCTGAGGAATCCCAGGCTTCTGCAGGAAAGCCAGCTGGGGAGGTTCGGGGCTCTCTGGTCCCAGCTGGGATTTCCCACCCCTACACTCTTCTCTTAGTCCCTCATGAGTCTGTCCATGGCCTTCATATTGTGCCCACACTGTCCATTCTCTCCTCCCTGGGCTGAAGTACCAGCTCAGATCCCTCATAGCCTTGGCTGGCTGCCTAGGAGGCTGGAGCTGACCCAGCTGTGGCCAGTTCTGGAGGGCCCGTCCCTTGGCCACTCTGACCCTGGCTTGTTCTCAGTGGGGACCTCCAGGTGACAGGCAGCGCACACTGCACCTTCACTACTGCCCAGAAGGCCGTGGGCAAGGACAACTTCACACTGATTCCAGAGGGCGTCAATGGTGTAGAAGAGCGCATGTCTGTGGTCTGGGAGAAGTGTGTGGTAAGTCTAGGCCTGCGGGTGGTTGTGACAAGGGTGCTGTGAGCAGCGTGCTGTGGGGGGACCCCGCCACCAGAAATGCTCACGAGAGAGACCAGCCTTATCCCTTCAAGCCTTAGCTTAGCCGTCCCTGGCACCTAGATTCTCCTTGGGATGGTATTATCACATCTATAGAGCCTCCTCCCTGGAAGTTAATGTCATATCCATCACCCTGCACACCATAAACATGTAATTGTTACATGTTAATGAAAAACTTTACATTTTTGAAAATTTAAATGAAATGACATAAAATTGAAAGATTCATCATAGCCAAGCAGAGTGTTGCAGTCCTGTAGTCACAGTACCCTGGAAGCTAAGGGGGGAACTGGAGTTTAAAGTCAGCTTGAGCTACACAGGCAGGCAGGCAGGCAGGTGTGTACACAGGCACAGGCTTAGAAGGTAAGTCTCCCTCCTCTGCATCCTGGCCCCTCTCTCGAGATCATCTGCCACACCTAAAAACCGGGGTGACTGTCAGAGTGTCTCAAGGGACATCGATGTTAGTATCAAAACCTCATTTATTCACAGAGGCAGCGAGAAATGGGGCTGTGGCCACAGAAGCAGCCACAGAGGCAGTCACACCACTAGTCTGCCTTGGCACTGCCATTGGTGCCCTGTCTGGATGGGCACTTGTACCACTGTTATTGAAGCCATGGCTGGAACCCCTCCTGAGCTTGCGATGCCCTGTGACATCCACAGCCCACCCTCCCCCTCAGCTGGCTCTCTGAGCTTGCAATGCCCCGTGACATCTGCAGCCCACCCTCCCCCTCAGCTGCAGCCCACCCTCCCCCTCAGCTGGCTCTCTCGCTTCTCAGGCTTCAGGAAAAATGGACGAGAATGAGTTCGTTGCTGTGACCAGCACAAACGCTGCCAAAATCTTCAATTTTTACCCCAGGAAGGGGCGTGTGGCTGTGGGCTCTGATGCTGACCTGGTCATCTGGAACCCCAGGGCCACGAAAGTCATCTCTGCCAAGAGCCACAACCTGGTGAGAATGCTTCCCTTCTTAGCAGGGCCTAGATGGACCTGCTTTCCAGGGGAGCTACCAGAATAGGTGGTAGGTGTCCACCCTCAGTGTGGCTCAGTGGGCAGCCCTGACCTAGGCAGAGCATATCTGCCCAGCACCCCACTCAGCCAGTGTATGTGACTGGGTTGTTGACCCATCCTATAGATAAGGAGCCCGAGGCAGAGGGTGCCACACCTTTGACAGCAGAAGAATGCCGTGACTCGGGGTGGGGGGGGAGCTGGGTTGGCTGAGAGTCATTTCTTCTATGTGTCACTTGGCTGCCTCAGTTGCTTTTCTTCTGGGTGGGGCCTTAACACAGCGTGTGCAGGTTACCTGTAGTGCTGGCCAGCTTGGGGGGGGGCGGGGTCAGAGCTGAGGAAGCTGCACCTGTGGGCCTCTCCCCAGAACGTAGAGTACAACATCTTTGAAGGAGTGGAGTGCCGAGGAGTGCCCACAGTGGTCATAAGTCAGGGCCGAGTGGTGCTGGAGGACGGGAACCTGTTTGTCACTCCAGGGGCTGGCCGCTTCATTCCCCGGAAGACGTTCCCCGACTTTGTCTATAAGAGGATAAAGGCTCGCAACCGGGTAAGAGGCTGACCTGGGCTGACAGGACATCAGTGGGTGGCAGGCTTGGAGTTCCCGATACAGTCCGTGAGCTCTGGTGTGAGGTCCTGCCTCCTGGCTGATGTGGCTTTGGAAGGCAGGGTGGAAGCCATCACTTGCCCAAGGCCTACTAGATCATTGCCTGTTGTAGGGGAAGTGGCCAGGAGGCCAGTGGCAGGCCTGGTCCTCCTGTGCCCATCATCAACTGCCTACGCAGTGATGGTGATATACCCCTTTTGCCACAGTGGTCTATAGGAAATATGGGTATAAACTCATTTATAATCACCTCCCTCCCTGTGTAAATTCCCACGAAGACGCTAAGGCAGTCCAGAGCACATCACCTATCTGCACTCCCTCTGAGGGGTAGGACAGGAATGGAGACCCTAGGAGGAACCTATAGAGGACAGCTCTGTATGGGGAAAGCCCAGTTCCACTTGCAGGGGGAGAGGGGACCATGGTGGTGGACAATGGTTTGGCCCTGCCCACTGTCATCTGCTGGACAGTGACACCCCTTCCCCCTTGCCAATAGGATCTAGTCCTCCAGGGCTGCCTCTGATTACATTGTTAAGTAGGCCCAGGAGTCCAGAAGGGGGTGTCAGCCAGGAGGATGGGGCCCATCTGACGTCACTCTTGGGATCACTGGTCCATACTGGGGCCCTGGAAAATGCCTCAGGCTTTGCGAGCCATTTTCAGGGCAGACAGAACCTAGAACCTCATTCCATGCGGCCTCCTGACCACAGTTGGGACCTGGATCTGGTTCCAGTTCCAGATGGGGCTGCTTTGCTTAAGTGGCCTTGCCTGAACATTTTTGGGACTGAGGTTACACTGGTGTGTGTGTGTGTGTGTGTGTGTGTGTGTGTGTGTGTGCTTCCTGAGAGGCACAGGTGTAACCACATGTGTCGGCTGATTGCTACACAGGGAGAGCACAAAAGAGATGTGTGAAGCTGTGTGTGCTCCTCTATGCAGGGGAGCATGGGATTAGTGAGCTGGGATGAGTTGGGGTGCAGAGCAGATAAGCAGGGTACTACCCTCCATCAGCTTAACTGGCTAAACCCCCAGCTCTCTCGGCCCCACAGCTAGCAGAGATCCATGGTGTGCCCCGAGGCCTGTACGATGGGCCCGTCCATGAGGTGATGCTACCTGCCAAGCCAGGGAGCGGCACACCGGCTCGTGCTTCCTGTCCGGGCAAGATCTCAGTGCCACCTGTGCGTAACCTGCATCAGTCGGGGTTCAGCCTATCTGGTGAGTTGGGTCTGGGCAAGGGGTACGAAACTCTTCTACCAGGTCCAGCCTGTGCCCAGAAGGCTCTAAGCTCAGCTGGGAACCTGGGCCTGTACATACTCAGGACACATCTCAGGGGTGGACCTGTGGATAGCCAGTGTGAATACTTTAGAGTAGAAGGTACTTGGTAAAGGGCCTCATTTGGGGTCTTATGAGGGGCAAAGAGGTGTGCACCCCTTCTGTGGAAGCCCATTTCTGTCCCAGCATTTGCCTTTGGGGGTGCTGTTGAGATGAACGAACCTGCACCTTGAATCAATCTTGGAGAAGACATGTCAGCCCAGAACTTAACACAGAATGTTCAACCTCCATGGGAAGAGAGGTGTCACCTCTGTGGGGACCCAAGCTATAATACAGCTTCCTCAGCACCACAAGCTAAGAATCAGCAGTGAAGTATGAGGCATGGGTCTGAGCTGTGTCCTCAGCACTTGGAGACACTCTAGAATGTACCTGCCATGCTGACCAACAGAGTTGGCTTTTACTAGCTGAGGGGTTTCCCAGTCTCCCATCTTGCCTACAGACCAAAGTCAGACCCCTTCCACCACTTGAGTGGGGGCTACATTGCTATATTGTCTTTGTTCTCTCCTCTCTCTGCTTGGGAGGTGATAATAGCTCCTGGTCACTTGGTAGGATAAGTTGAAAGTTCTTCAGAATCCAAGATCACCGTGAATGAGGGGGCAAGCTCCTGTTATCACCAATAGCCCACACAAAGACCAAATAGGGCAGGCTTCCTGGAGGGTTGGCCTTTGCCTTCCTGTCCCCACAGATTGTAGGGTCTTTGTCTATACTTTTCAGACATACGGATAAGCAGCCTGCCTGGCCACCTTGCCCTATCAGCCATGGCTTTGGGGAGAAAACCCACCCTGGGTGCACACTGCATGAGGTTACATAGCTTCTTTGTGGTCCTGGTTTAGTGGGTACAACCAGCCACATCTATCTTCCCTTTTGGATGGAAAGAGAGAGCCTTACCCTCCCTCCCATCCTTACTGCACTTACTTGCCCTTTCTTCAGGGTCTCAAGCTGACGATCACATCGCCAGACGTACAGCTCAGAAGATCATGGCACCCCCTGGAGGACGCTCCAACATCACCTCTCTTTCCTAGACTTGGGGTCTGGCATGCTGGTGCTTTCCCCACTGGCGGGGTGTGGAGACCACTCACTTTAGTTAGCCCCCTCCTTTGTAGATGTTACCGCGAAAGGTGCTCAGCCTTGCCCTTCTGTACCCCATAAACTCTCCCTTTGGAGTCCCAGATCCCAATATGAGGTACCCCCTCCAGAGGGCTGAATTCAGGGAGAGTTCACTGCCAGAGAGAGAGAGGACTAGGCATGGCAGTGAGCTGGTGCCTCTTGCCCACCTGGCCTTACCCGGAAGGCCCTCCATGAGAATTCTCTGCCTCGAGCCTGTGGGCTTTCTAGGGTCTGGGACCAGGCAGGGTGGGCATTTGCTGCTGCCTCCCCCTAAGGAATCACTGCCCTGTGGAAGCCTCCAAGCTTCCACCAGCTCTGTTTCTAAGGTGCAGCTACCCCTTGGGGGCCTGTCCCCGACTGCCCTGGTGTAGGGAGGAGAGCGGGTGAGTGGAGCCTCCGTCTTGCGGAGCTGCTGTGACTTCAGGGATCCACCAGTTACTCAGTGCAGGGTAGCTCCCTCCCACATAGACACTTCCAAGGACCAAACCTGAGCTCCTATAGCAGCCCCCTCTAAGGTTTTATGATCCCTTAGCTAAGACACTTTCCTTTTCCTACAAACTGTGTTTCCATAAGTTTATTAGAGTAGCAGTTTTGTACTGTGAGGAAACCATAGCCAGGGATCTGCATGCTGCTGTACCAGATGCCGGCCACCGGCCACCGGCCACACCTGGCGTGAGTCGGGTCAATAAAAAAGTCTGGGTTAGAAGCTGCCCGTGTGTTGCCAGCCAGACTTCCTGCCCTCACAAGCATTTGCACAGGGACCAGGGAGCCCCTTCTGTAGCTGCCACCTCTGGTCAGCTGCATGCTGTCTAGCAGAGTGGTCTCTGCCTGCTCTGGACCACAGGCGTGGCTGGATCTGAATGGTGGGAGGTGGGCTTCCTCCTAGGGTCTTTGGCTGTGATCCTCAGTCAGACGATCAGCAAGAGGACAGCCATGTTCTGACTGGCCGGACTCAAACCACTCCAGCTCTGATGAGGCTGTGAACGGAACACTGAGGCGTACTCTGCAGGTGGGATGTGGCATAACGGGCAACCTAGGGGACCAGGGCAGCCGCTCATAGCCAGGCACCACTGCTGAAAGGCAAGCGGCTAGGTAGTTCCTACCAGTGCCTTCTTGGGGGTTGGAATTGCTGGGCTAGCCTCCTGGCTGCAGCCTCTTCTCATGGAGGTGGGTGGGTCTCAAGTTCTTTATCTCAGGCAAGGGATCCCCCTAGAAGCAGGAGGTCTTTCCCACACTGCTTGTCCCTTATCCCCTCAACAATCCATTCTCAGTAGCAGAAGCATGTCCATAGGAGCTGACTGCACTGTGGACATCCAGGACTGTCATAAAGTTTCTCTGGTCCTAGCAGCAACCCTACTGAAGGCCCAACCTGGCAGCCCTGCCACTGTTTTGGGAGGTCATGTCCTCTGGGCCACATACACATGAATTTTTTTTTTTGAGACCCAATCTTATTATGTAGCCTTGGCTGTCTGTAGACCCAACTGGCCTTGAATTTAGAGATCTGCCTGCCTCCCAAGTGCTGGTATTCAAGGTGTGCACTACCATAACCCAGCAGCTTTAGATTTGAACCTTGGGCTTTGGTCGACTGCTGTGCTCTATGGAAGTGTTTTTTCTGCTTCCACCAGCAAGGACAGGGGTGATGAAGGACTTTACATCCCTGCCACAATCAAAAAGGAGAGTGCACTCTCACCAAAGTCACCTCTTACACACTTGTACAGACCCCCCAGAGTTATTCCCTTGGGTGTGCCTGACCTTGCCAGTTTTCACTCAGAATCTGGCTACCTGAAGGGGCTGCAAGCAAGTGGTAGTGACCTGGGTACTTTGTCCACCCGCCTTTGTATGCCGTGCTGTACTTCTTAGGTGTGGGCCTCACTGGGAGCCCTATGGTTAGTCAGTTCCCCTAGGGGCAGGGGTGGGGTGGAACCAGACAGGGCTCAGAGCTGCCTTCTCAGTCCTGGGGCTTCAGCTCTGTTCTCAGCACAGTCCACAATTCAGACACGGTGGTCACTTCGGCCCCTGGTTACTTCACAGCCTGGCTAGGCAGGAGGACATCATTTACTGGGGTTTACCAGAACCATAGACATAGGTACAGATTTTTGTATGGTAACCAGGGTGGCAACTGCCCTGAGAGGGCACCATACGTGACGTGGGAATCTCCCAAGTGAATGCACACAGGCCTGGGAAGCCCTGGGCTGGAGGGGCAGAACTCATCCTTGGGCTGGAGAGGCCAGGGCAGTGGCTTATTCAAAGTGCCTCTCTGACCACAGAGGCCTGGGGCAGATGTCATATTTTGGGCTGTGAGCCTCCTGCCCAGCCCTGTAGAAGCCATGTTGTCTGGTACTACTCTGAGGCTCCTCGGCTTTTGACAATTACCGCTTGTCTTGGACCTTGAAATGGCTCTCAGCCACCCACTTCCGGTTTCTACCAATGCTGAAGTAGACACCACAACACCACTGTCCCGTGGCACCCGCTCCCCGGCTGCCCCAGCCCAACAGACCTTTTCCAGGAAGACTGCAGGCACTGGAGGTCACCACTCCACGGGCAAAGGACATACAGAACAGGCGACACAGCAGTTCTTAAGACTGTAATTCTCAGAGGTGAAAACTATACACAAATTGCAGAAATTGCCAGAGCAGTGTTTATCTCTAGAAAACATTCTTTGCCGTCCCACCCACTCCCTCCCCCAACCCCCGCCCTCCATGACAAATCAGAATCAGCAAGGCCTGTTCCCATCCCCACAGCCTTGAGTAGCGAGCTCAAGGACATTCTGGCCAGGCCACGGCAAAGACTGGCCACAAGGCTATATACAGCCAATTCCTAAAGGGTCCAGAAATTCAAGGACTCCTGCCCCAACGTACCACTCTGGCTGTCCGTAATCTGCCAGCCTACAATTAGAGGGGCCCGCCATCATGATGGCTGCGTGACTCCCTCTATGTTGCAAATAACCATGGTCTAGGTACCAAGGGTCCTCCTTGCCCAACCACCACTCTCAACGGGTACCCATGGCTCCCAGCAGTTTCACCATACTGACAGCCTCGCGGGCAGGCTGGGCGGTCAGGCCTTTGCCCCACTGCTGCCTCCTCCTGGCCGTCCTGAGTCTTCAAAGCAGCCTGAGAGAGAACTGCCCTTGGACACGGTCCACTTGGCCTAGCTGCTCCCAGATGAGGGGCAGATGGAGCCACACATGGGCAGGGCTGTGGGCTCTGGCTCACTGTCTGCAGTGGGATCTGTCATATCTGCAGTCTCGGAGCATGGAAGAGGCTCGTTCATGAGTTCCTGGCTCCTCTTCAGCCTGGGGGTGAGGGGAGACAACACCCAAGTGGATCTATGTAGCCCACCAAATGGCACAGCCTCACTGACATCTCCAGGACCCACTGAGGTAGAATATATATGGCTTTTCTTAGGACCCATGGGATGTGTCCTTCAGGGATGTGGTGTGGGATGCCAGGGATGTCCCTTGTTAGAAACCCTGTTCTGGCACTTGTTAGAAACCCTGTTCTGGCACATGCTGGGAACACAGGGAGCTGGACAGTAGACATGGACGGTGAGACCATTAGCGGTATGAGAGGCTCAGCCCTCTGCTGCTAGCCGCAGGCTCTGCATGGCAGCTCATTCAGAAGAAGCCGAGGGAGCTCTAGCTCTAGCTTGGGTCCTGTTTCAGTGGGCAGTGCTGGAACAGCTTTTCAAAGAGCAAGGCCAAGCTCACAAGTCATCACGTCCTCTAACCACAGGGTGGGGCCAGTGTCCTCAACCAGACCCACATTGCTCATGCATCCTCCCCAGCCTAGCACAGAGCCACTACCTCTGGGAAGCCCTCCCTGCTTCCCAGGCAGGGACAGTTGACCCTTTCTTAGGCCCCACTATACCAGGCTCTCTTCATTGAGGCAGGTGTTAGCAGTCTGTGACCTGTCTTGGCCACTGGCACTAGACACCAAGGAAAGCTTTTCTGAGTGAGTGACCCAGTGGCAGGTGTGACTGAAGGGGCCACCAGGAGGTAGCTGGCTCTGGTCTGAGCCAAGTGTGTCCCTGAGATTCTAACCCCTGGATCTGAGTTCACCCAGAATGTTCCCAAGGAGCCCCTGTAGGGGCCTGAGAAGAGGACACTCAACTTGATCTTCCATATCCACTGCTTGTCCTTCCCAGAGAGCACGGGCCAGTCCTTCTGGGTCACATAGCTGCTGGGACATCTGTGCTGTGTAACCCCTACACCCTACTATGGCCCCTCACATACACACACTCACTTTTCTCTGTTAAAAATCACGAAATCTTGCTGGATGGCATCCAGACAGTCTTGCAGGTAGTCGTTCTCCTGTGGACAGAAAGACCGCCTCGGTGACTCGTGCTGGATGCTAGGGCCAGTTCCCAAGCGCTGCTCCGACCACCCTCTCCTGAGCTCTGGGAAGGCAACTCCCAGCTTCCAGGGAGCTCTGCTCTTCAGAAGCCCATCTCCTACCTCTGAGAGCAGACTCACTTAAGACCAGCTGTGGGGGTGGGCAAGGCAGGGCAAAGACACTGCCTCGACTCTCCTGTACTCACTGAACCCGCACCTGACCCCTCTGTGTGTCCCTTCCCAAAGAATCTGGTAGGGACCCTGAAGGTACATTACTCCTCCCTCAGAACCTCATTTGTGTCTCCCAGCAGCACAGCCAGGCTCAGGGGTGATGGACTCTGGGGGGCTACACAGCACAGCTAACGGGCACCTGTGAGAACCAGGACAACAGTTTGGGAGAGGGCTTTAGGGTCATGGATGGGCTGTAAGTTAAGTCAGAATATGAGACTCAAGAGCTGTGTCTCTAAGAGATTTTCTCCCCTGGCTCAGTTTTTGGAAATCTGGTTATGGGGTTCAAGGGTCCATATCATCTTGGAAGAATGCGGAGAAGTGAAAACACATGCCTGGGCGGGCTGAAGATTAAAGGCCGAAGGACCTACAAGATGGCCATGTTCTCCTACCACAAGGTGGTAAGCAATGAGCTGGGGAGGGGTCCTAGGATAGGAGATACTTCTAGAACCCATCCCCTTGTGCCCATGGTAGAGACGGCGCATCCAAGAAGCTGAAGCCCAGGGAGGCACACTTAGTCAGGAGGAGCCTGTGGTGCTAGCCAGCAGATTCTGGAGCTCTTGGTGGTCAGAGAGGCCAGAGTTAGCTTGGTAAAGGCTACCAGCTGCCCAGGGGCAGGAGACAGAGCTGCACACTTGCTTTCTAGATCCGATATCCGTCCTACAATCCTTTACCTGGAAGGGGTTCAGTCCCCTAAGTGGGAGGACGGCTAGGTTGCAGCAAATGCATGCTGTGGGGACCAGGTCCCTGCAGCTGTCTCCACAAAGGGGGTGTCTAAGTGCTTAAAAATCTGCTTAGACCTCAAGCCCTGCTCACAGAGCCCAGTGACCACAGACCCACCCTTTCTCTGAATGCTGAAAGCAAGACCCTGGTAAGGCTTATGGCATCTGTCAGTGCTGGCTTTCCTGCCAACTCGACCTGTGGGAAGCAGCTGTTATGATGAGGGGTGGGGGAGGCAGATGTAGGTTGCGAATAAAGTGTAAGTCATGCAGATCGGCACATTTGAGGCACCCAGTGTGTAGCATGGTAATGGGAGTTAACAACGCTGGGATGTATACTTGAGGTTCCTAAAAGGATAGATTTGGAAATTCAGCCTTTTCTCCAGTTTCTCTTTGATGATTATTTACCATTTTTTGCTTGTAATAACA